AAAAACAATTTTCTATTTTTCATTTATTTATCTTACAAATAATTGTGTACATATAGCAGGAACCTGAGCTTCAGCCTGTTTGGTTAAACTGCAAAATCAGAGTGTTTTAAAATGTAAAACAGAACATAGTGTTTAAAACCTGAATCAGTACCAAATTCCTGAAGAACACCAGCTCTTACCCCCGAGAGAGGGAGAGAAGGTCAGATTCATCATAGACAGAAACAGGAAAGCAGCTGAAGTTTTAAAGAATTTTGAAAGGTTACGTATGGGCTTGCATTATGGATCACCCACCAACTGTTTCCCATAAGGCCTCTACCAATAACACAGTGGTAGTGCGCTGAAAAGTAGGGGCAGGGCAGAAAAGCAGGGCAAAATCCCTTTGAGGCCTCCCTGTTCACTGAGTGTGAGGCAGTAGTTTTCCAAAGGCAGGAGACAGGGCAGACAAATCTCAGGATGTACAGAAACACTTGAGGATTGTTGGGTAAGAGAAGGAGTAAGCTTTGTTAAGTGGCACTTGAGCTGGCCCACAGTGGAATGGGTTGCCAAAACAAGCCCAGCAGTCAGGGAGTATATGACCACTTATCTGGAATGGTAAAGTAGTTGAGATCTTTGACACCCAAAGATCCCTGGATGGCAGCACTGGCATTACCTGGCAGTTAGAAATGTAGACCTTAGCTTCATGCCAGACCTACTGAACCATTTTTTATTAATTAAAATTTAATACTTTTTATTTCAGCAAGATCCCTGGGTGAGTCATAGATATGTTAAATGTTGATTAGAGTGACTTACTAAGGTGCATTCTAATCCTTAAAATTCTACTTTAATATGTACAATCAAGAGCTGAGTGGTTAGCCATACAGAAACTAAATGTATGGTCCAAGAAGGAAAATTCAATGTGAGTAATAGAAGGCTTCCTTGAAGAATCAGGAGTTGAGCTGGTCCTTAAAAGCTGGAGGAAGAGGATGGATATATCAAGAGATAATATAAATAAGCATATTAAAGCAGAATTAGTGGTATGGACCAGCCCTCTGGCAGTGGACAGGGAGATTAACTAGAACTTTTACCTAGTTCCTCCTAAAATGACCTGAGCCCAACTTTTCAGAATGAAATAGGTCACAAATCTTATCCTCAAGGAGCGTCACCCAGACACTGAATAGAATGGTCTGAGTGTCCTACTAAAGATACAGATAAAGAGCTGTGGTTACAAAGGAAAAAAGCAGCTTATTCGGAGTTGCAATTTGGAGAACACTTCAATGAAGGAGCGTTGAAACTGATATTTGAAGGGAGAGTGGGGACAAAGTTATTCCAAGTTGAGCAAATAAACTGAACAGTGTCAGGTGAAGAATCAGGCATGGATCAAAAGACTCAAATATCTTTTGGAGAGTTTCACCTTAATTTTGTAGGCAACAGAAAGCCACCAACAGTTTCGGTTGGGGAGCAATGTGATTGGGCCTGCATTTTATAGAGATTAATCTGGCAGAATAAATTTGTGACAAGATCATCATTCTTGGTATCAGGTCTTTACTGGGGCAGTAACAATAAGATTGGAAAAGGGAATCAAAATAAAAAATGTTGCAAAGGCAAAATGGGCACATTCTATTGATGAAGTTGATTCTGATCTTGGTTACTTAAGGCAATGATGCTATTAGAATCATGATAAAATGCAGGAAGAGGGACAGATTTAGGAGGAAAGTAGATTGAGTTCAGGTGATCCTAAATACACTCTATTCCCTGCCTAACTTCCAAGACTTTCCTCCCTTTCACATTATTGGGAGATTGTTTCTTAGATGACTGGATCTCACTCGTCAATAACTAATTGTTCTCTGGTGAGCTTTGCTATTCAACAAACACACCAAAGGGACCTAAAAACAAAAGGTCAACTCAGGTGCTCATGATGCCATGATTGTATCATAAATTTAAATTTAGAAATTTATTTAAAATAGAAAAATGCAAAAGGTATAGCAATGATTTGATCACATGTACAGTCTTAAATGCCACTTTTCTAAAGAAAAGGCTTATGGAGACACTTCTTTCCTCATTATTAAAAAATCCATTATAACTGTGATAAAACAGGTTGTGTTCAGTTTATTAGACTCGTACAAATAAAAACTTGGGTAGTTAATTGTACATGGTCCTAAGCAGACAAAATAAGGACAATAAATAGAGGCATGGTCCTTTAGAAAACCTGTTTTAGAATGGGAGGCTAATTTGGGAGCTATCGGAGCACCCTGGTTAAGGCTGTGGAGAGAAGTTGCAGATTGATGACATCTTGGAAGTAATGACATGTTTTTAAAAGAATATCCCATGGAAGGATAAGTAGATTGTAATTTACAGAAAACATACTTTACATTTTAGTTAATGAGACACTGTGGTACATTGAAACCTGGGCCCAATGCTTCATTCCTTCTCTGTTAGAATTAATCATCCATGTCCTTCGCCATATGACTTTGCCCTTATTCGCATTGTTTTTCCAACTTGCTAATGTGGAGCTTGGTCATATGTCTTGAAATTTTGGTCAGTAGAATGTGGATGGAAGCGACATGCTATCCTGGCCATTGTCTTATGGCCAGGTACTCTACGTTTCCTCTCATTCTCTTGTGCCCCTGCCATTCAGCATGAGAACAAGACTCAGGAAACCAACAGACAAGGATAATGTGAGGCACATACAGCAGGCCTGAACTTACTGTCTGAGCAGAGCTATCCAGCTGAGTTGCAGAACCATGAACAAGAAAATCGGCGTTTGGTATGGTAAGCCACTGAAACTTTGAGGTTGTTATCATTAATTTAAAAAAACTGAAGTATATCATTAATGAGCACAGCTGACCAGGAGCAACTGTCATGTTCAAACAAAATATCAATGATTAGAACCTGAATCAGAGAGGGACCAGACCAGTATGGATGAAATTTGGCTCGTCTTTTAAGTGACAATAAAAAGAACATATGTTAATAGCGATTTTATGATTTTATGGTAAATTGAGTGAGCTGTTAAGAGGCTTATCTTTATTTTAATATTCAAATATACATTTTGACTATAAAATATAAGCATCAAAATTACTTGTATTATTTCTGAATCCAGACTGAATTTTCCAAAGGCCGGGCATGTTGGCCTGAATAACAGGCATCTCTGCCTTTCCCCCAAAAAGGCAAAAAAACCTGAAGAATAAAGTGAAATACAGAGCTGGAATTTTAAAAATTTGTTTAAGAATAATGTTAAACTTCATATATAATAAATAATATCAAGAAGGTTATTGCATCTGTACCTGTTTTTTAAAAAGACTTCCCTTAAGAGAAAGACAAATGATTATTGCCTGTATCTGTTTGGCTTTGTAGTTTTTAGACTACTGTGCTATTCAGTATAGTAGCCACTGGTCACATATGACCGACCTTGAGCATTTGAAATCTAGTAGTCCTGATTAAGATGTGCAGTAAGTATAATATACACATAATAGGTTTCAAAAACTTAATATGAAAAAATAAACATCTCATTAATATTTATATTAACTATATGTTAAAGTGTTCATATTTTGGATATAGTCACTTTATTAAACTCTCTATAGTAACCCAGTTTGATTGTACCATATTTTTCTTACAGAGGTCTTGATTGATACAATACTAAAATGAAATATACTTTTTAAAAACTTTTATTTATATCATGTTTTATTTTCTTATTCAGGTAAAACTTTTATATTTTTTTCTGTCTCTCATACACATACATGCACACCCTAATTAACTTCAATTTTTTTGTCTACAGAAATAACCACTTCTAATTTTAATCCCTGTGGTTTCATAGAAATAGAAAGTTTCCCACTTTCTAAAGGAATGGGGTCACCACAACCAAATTTGGGTGAAAGTCCAAGAAGGAATGGTAATCATTTATGACCAGTGGGAAGTCCAATATTAAAATTATTTGATAGTAATCTATTTATTTTGCCTTCCCCATCAGGAATGGTGATAGCAGTTTCCTTGATCAGCCTCAAAGCCCTCTTTCCCTATAACAGATTAGGTTGTGCCTGCTGACTATCTCCATGATTTGAGATTTGTCAGTGGAGTTTCGCTCCCAAATACCTTTCAGATTTTGGTGGGGGGGAGGGAGCAGAAGGGGAGAGTTCAGGCAATAAGACAGAAATGGAACAGGAAAAGATTTCAGTGTTTACAAAAGGAAACTTGTGAATTGTGATTTCAGCTTGCCGAGGGGCAGTGTTTAGAAAATAAAAAGCCATAAACTTGGGGCAAAGACTTGAGTTTCAGTATCAGTTCTGCCATGTACTAGTGTGAGTGACCCTTGTTTGTAAAATGGAAATTACACTTTTGTGGGGTCTTTAGGACCAGAATAGATAATGTACCTGACAGTGCTTTGTATATGCAGACATAAGTAAGAAAGGACCTGCTGTTATTGGCTGTATTTATATGATCTTTTATTTTCATCATTGTCATCAACTACTATTTATTTGATTCTGATTTTGATTATTTTATTTGATTTGATTCTGCTGTTCAGTGAGCAAGCCATATAATTAAGGAGCCAGGAGTATGGGAATCATTGATAAGCATCATACATCATATAGGTTACCATGCAAAGTATATGAACAGAATATCAGCATTGCCACAACAGCCTTTGTGAACTTAAAGCAATGTTAAATTCCAAGTCCATTAGGAAATGGGTCATGTGTCTACTTCCCTTTCCACCATGCCCTGTATTCATGCATACTTAAGTGCATGCTTTGAAGTTATAAAGAGACTGTCTAGTAGTATATTCGGGAGAGGAAAGAATGGTTAAGTGCATGCCAGGATTTAGCTCAGCCATTTGAGCAGGTAACTTGACCTTTCTTAGCCTCACCTGCTGCTCCTACGAAGTGGAATGATAGTACCTATCTTCATATTATTTCAAGAATTAAATGAGAAAGTGAACATAATGCACTTGGTCACAGAGCATAGTACACAACAAATGCTCAATAAATACTAGCTATAACAGCATAGCTAACTACTATTAGAAAGAGCCTAATTTGACTTTTTATTCCTTATCAAGGTACAACAAGTTCAATTGCGGGTATCAGAGAAGAAAATGTTCCTGTCCACAGCTTTATTATACTTATATTCACCTGGATATTGTAAAAACTGACTTGGTTATTCAAGAAATGTAGGGCTATTTGGCTTCTAGTTTGTGGAAGAGCTTTTCCTTCTCCCCTCCACCCTGCCCCACATCAGCTCAGTAGTCACTCCCTAGATCCAGAGATGGAAAGCCTGGGCAAGGTCAGAGTAAACACAATGCCACTCGGTCCTGCTCAAAAGGTAACTCTTAACAGTAATCCTTAAAGGAAGGGGGTACAGGGTCTCTTCATATTTCTGTGACAAGATCCATAGCTGCTGCTTCTCTCACAAAATATTCCATGGAACAAGTAAATAGAACCCATGCTTGTGTGACAGGAGTAGCATCAACACTTTCAGATCTGATCCCTGGCACATTCTGACGCATAAATATCATAATAGCAAAAAGGTATGGCACACTACGCTAATGCAACTTTCTCCCTAAAGTAAACCCTGGGACAATAAGATATGGCATGGCTTTAAAATTCAATAGTGGCTTTGTGGTGCACTTAGCAGATCTGCCTATTAACTGAAAGGTTGGTGGTTTGAGCCTCCCCAGGAATGGTCTTGTCTCTAGCCAATCTCTTGGTGATGAAAATATTCTACAGTTAGGTGGTAGTCATGGTTGCACAACACTGTGAGTGCAGTACCACTGAATCGTACATGTTAAAATGGTGAATTTTACGTAATGTGTATTTTACTACAATAAAAACAAAACCTTCAATAAATGCAGAGGAGGATGCACTTCCCAAGCCAACTATATTTTTCTTCCTGGTATGTATACATCTACCATGTAATATATACCCTAATATCTGAATGCCTATATGTACATCAGCTTTTTAGAAATCTGATCTGGGTGTTCAGCTCTGTAGCATTCTGGCATCACCCTGAAATGTGTGACCCATTTTTGTTTTGGCTTTGATTAAGTGTAGTATTAACCGGCACAAGCACATAAATTCCCTTGCAAGACTCTTTGGTCCTAGACATATTTTTCTGGTCTAGAAAATTCTCCCGTGCAAAGGCAGGCTGAGAGTGGAATGTGTGTCTGTGCTCTTCAAAGGCACTGTATGGCTTTCTTAATAAATGGGAAACAAGGGAGAAAGGGTCTGTAAGAATACAGCTGAGGTTCTTCTTTTAGCCAGCACACTTTCTTAGCACAGGAGTCAAGACTCTGTTCTTCTAGACGAAGCCAATATTGTTCTTTTATAAAGCAAAGATCATGAAAGGTGGCAGGTTTTTAAGACCTACATGAGCACAGAGTACAAAAAAGGAAGGAGGGGCTGGAGCTAGGAAAGACTCACAAAAGAGGCAATGTCCACCAGGAAGTTCTTGAGGCAGAAGGTGGTGATTACCTTCCAGGGAAAGGCTTCAGCAAAACCCAGGAAGCTTTACACTGGTCAAGACTGGCCTTCATGAACAAGGAAAGTGAACCTTGTACACCACTGTGGAGGAAAGTGCCCCCTGGACAAGTTTTTTTCTCACTCCAGCCAGCAGATTGCAGCTGCTCCTGCTATACCATGTCTTTCCAGAAAAATGAAGGCTTGTGAAAGATAATCAAGCCTATGAGAACCACTGCAATCAGGATCAGAGAGAAGACAACCATGAGGAAGACATAGGTGGAATGGGAGAGAGGTGCAGACATCGGCTGCTCTGCTGGGATCATGTTGGTCAGGTTCAGCATGTAGCCCAAAGTCCATCCCACATCAGTGTCCCGGATCTGCAAACAGTAAGGAAAATCTGTTGTTTCTGTGAGCTTTCATGCAACCCCATTCATAACACTTAAGTAGCCAGAGCACTGCATTCAGTTCTCTACAGGGATTACTTATATGTTCTAAATAGGGAATTTAGTTGTGGGGGGAAATGGAGCAGCAGCAAGTGATTATGGAGAGTTTGGAGCCTCACTACTGTATTCTCAGAATTCAGAGAGGATCTTTATGACAGACTGCCCAATTCTCCCACAGAATTTAAAGAGAACTTAGATAGGTCTTTGGAGATTTGCATTCCTCTTTCGTTGTGTGTGTGAATGTTGGGGGTGGGGTGCAGAAGGGAGGTGGGAGGTGACAGACAGCCGGCAAAGCATTAGGGATAATGATCTTTGTGAGGGCTAGAATCTCACCCATATAACACCAGGACTTCTTTATGATTCAACTAGTGAAAGTTGGAGAATAATCCCAGCAAATTAGTCTTTATGGCAGTTGGAAGACAGCATATGCATGAGAAAGCGTTCTTATTAAATGATTAAAATATGCTCTGACCCTGCCTTTTTCCTAGGAATATTTTCCAGTTGCCTTATCACTTATTGGAGTATATAGTTTATAAATAATAAATAATTTTGGAAGTATTTTTATTATATGAGTTATACGTGGTCATGGTAGAAAAGTTAGAAAGCACAGATAATCCTAAAAAAAGAAAACCAGCTGTACTTCAACACTCAGAAGTCGCTGCTATTATTTTGTGATATATCTTTCCAGTCCTCTCTGTGAAGTTTTCTTCTTAACAAAAATGGAATTAAATTGTATGTAGAATCACTCATTTAACAGTACTTTGTAAGAACCATCCATGTTTTTAAGGGATTTCAATAACATCATCCCTGACATGAACTTCCTTATATGTTCATTTTTACTCACCTTATCCATTATTTATAAATCCCAGAAATGGAGTAAGTGGATAAAGTAAGGTGCATATTTTAGATCTCTTAGCACATATTGCTAATACAGTCTCCCCAAAGGTTGTGCCAATTTGCCTTCCAGCTATATGGAAATGTTCCTCTCTCCTAACCCATTACCAATACTGGAATTAATGTCTAAAAAGCCCATTTATTTTGATGGGGGAGAGGAACCTTATCTGACTGTGGTGTGTCAAGGACAGCTCCAGAACTAGAATTATCATCCAGGGTTTAGAAATACTGGATTATTCATTGGAGTTCAAGTAATATAAATCACTTGTAAATTTGATATAGATATGTCCTTCAAACAGACAAAACAAACTCTGATGGGATAGAAGGAAGATTTGCATTTAAATGATCCAAGGCTGCTACAAGTCCACTGCCTCAATGGCTTTCTTTTTGCTCGAAATCACCAAATTTAATAAAGGGGTAAACTTTTTGCCATTACTGGGTATAGGCATAAAATGCAGAGAAATACTGTTCTTGATATTTTTCAATATGAGTTGTCTGTACATGAGCCATGCTGCAGGTGTAAATGTTTCTCTTTGTTTGGATACCTGCAGGTGGCGCTATGATAAAGCACAGCAGTGAGGTTTCCCCTTTAAGGCTCCTGCTGAGCCTGGCTTCTAAGCAAAGACCCTCATTCACAGCCACTCATCGCTTTCTTCACACTGAGTTTTCAGATTGGTCAGCCTTAAAAGTACAACCAACAAAGCCTTCACCCACTGTGAGAAACCATGATCATCCTTTCCTGATTCATGGAAGGGGTCTTCAGGATGGATCTTGAGGTTAGCACACAGAATCACTGTGGCTACTAAAATACTGTAACATTACTATAACTTATCACTTTTTGTTTTATAAGGATTTGTCACTGTTATGTAAGCAGAAAGGAGAGTCTCAGAATGCAGGAAGCTCTCCTTAGAAAGGATATCCACAACTGGATGGTCAACAAACCCAGAAGGGTTTGGCACAAAATGCCAGTGTGGGTTAGAGGTGAAGTGGTGGAATAGGACATCAGGCCCAAACTTAAATCAGGTTGACTCCTACCTCTTTCAAGTCCAAAGTTGCTTCAATCACAACAACCCAACCTCCCCAAAACCCAATAAGTACCTGGCCCATGAAATGAATAGTCTTCCAGTTATCAGGTGTGAAATGATAGCCCTTCTGAAGAAGAGAGATAATGTAAGTTCCGGAAAAGCAGTATTCACTCAGGTACTTCTCCTTCACAGCACCAAAGTTCATCTTCAGCTGGAAATGAAGTGAGGGAAATATCATACTTGTATAATGGGCAACTCTCCAAGATCTCTTTTTCAGTTGATCAACAGAGGGGGAAGCCCCAGCTCACATGGCCCTGAAAGTCCGCCTCTCCAGCAGGTTTTGGGAATGGTGCTGTGCTTTTTCAGTGGGTGCCAGGGCTTATAGAATATGTTTAGGGAACTTCTCCTCTAAGATTTTATGAGATGGTAATAAGTGCTCCAGGAAAAAAGTCATTTCTGTTATCTAGTAGGTCAGAAACACTTTCATCCCTTGTGAAACTTGAGTTTCACAGATTAGCATGTTAAAGGTGTGAAAAATTTTGCACAAAAGAAACCCATTAATTTTTTTTACACTGTCCTACAATAGAATGGACCACCTCAGTAGCTTCTGAGGCCAATACATTTCTATCAGCACAATTACTTTAGCAAACCTGGTTCCCTTCACTTCTGCAACATCGTGCAGAGTTAGTGAGCGAGTTTGCATGAAATCCATTAATTTTTGTGTATCAGTTTCCTATATGCTCTTGACCAGAGTCTTTGGTTCAGAGCCTCTATAAGTATCTTAAGGAAATAGTGTCATAAAGAGCCATTCAATTTAATCCCTAGGCTAGCAGCATCAGCATCCCATAGAAGCTCGGTAGTCCTCACGCAAAACAGCCAACACGAGAGGAGGATCACGTACGTAATCAAGTTTGAGAAACAGCTCTGGAACACAGTTTAGGAAGCATTTTGCTCAGGATTGCTAAAATTATCAACATCTCACCTTCTGTTATCTGTCCTTACTTTTTTTTTTGCATGAAAGTCATGCAAAGGGGTCTTTTTTAGTCCTTCGTGTGTTTACCCTACTCCTGAATGAAGGAATTAATAGCTACCTGACAACCCTTGCCTTGCCTTTACCTAGTCGTTGTGAATATATGCCGGATGTCCACAGCTGGCTCTGCTCCTCTTCTCCCCTCAAGATCAACAGGCCAGGGCATCTCTAGTTCAGCTCAGAGTTCTTTCTACTGCCCTATTCCTCAGCCCTTGAGGTAGGCATTCCCTCCTGTACACCTTAGGAAGTGAGAGAGCTAGCATTTGTTAAGCATGTACTAGTAGTTATGCCAGATGTTTTATATGTAGGTCATCCTGGTTGCCTGCCTACCTGCCTTTTGCCCAGGTTTCTCTTACCTCACAAGGAACACCCCACCTCTAACCTTTAACTGCTAGCTGGAGTCTTTCTCACTTGGCTCCTGGCAGCCCTCAATCTCTGGAAAACTAATCCCACACCTAGCATGAATTGTCCTGCTCTGATGGAATTCTTCAAATGACCCAGCTTGGAAACTTTTTATCACAGTCCTTGAAATTACTCTTTGATCAACTCCTCTGTATATGATATTCTCCTGAGATCTTGGTGTGACATCAATTGACTTCGCCCAACTAGGTCCCTACCCCTTTCTTACTGCTCTCTGGTTTTCCTTTGTTAAAAGACCCCTTCTCCCATTTGATGTAGTCTTGGCAGGCCTGTCAAACAAAAAACCCCTAAGGGATACGGATTTCAAGAATCCACTGCCAGCAACCCCACAGGTTCTTGAAGTCTTGCCTATCCCTTTGGGGAAAGCCATTTTGGCCTAATTTCCTTGAACTCTTCAACATTCCTGTGCCCCTCCTCCTTCTGGGAAACTGAACATTGGCTGAGCAGTCTAATCTGCTGAGGATTATTTATGATCCTAGCGAACAATATAGAAGCCAAAGGCATCTACCTGGTACATCAATGCAGACTTGATCATGGTTTTTTTTCCAACTCCAGTTAACACAGAATACTATATTAGTTTCAGGTGTACAACATAGTGATTAGACATTTACATAATTTACAAAGTGATCAACCCAATAACTCTAGTACTCACTGACACTATACTTAATTATAATATTATTGACTATATCACCGTGCTGTAATTTACATTAAGAAAATTTGTATTTTGCCCTGGCTGGTGTAGCTCAGTGGATTGAGCACAGGCCTGTGAACCAAAAAATTGCAATTCAATTCCCAGTCAGGGCACATGCCTGAGTTGTAGGCCAGTTCCTAGCAGGGACCAGTTCCCAGCAGGGGACACACGAGAAGCAATCATACATTGATATTTCTCTCCCTCTCTCCTTCCCTTCCCTTCTAGAGATAAATAAATTATTTTTTAATTTTTAAAAAAGAAAATTTGTATTTCTTAATCGCTTCACCTTTATAACCCAGAACTGACACGTTAATGCTTGGATTCAATTGGATTCAATATTATGTGCCCTCCAAATGGGAAGAGAATTCACCCTCTTTTGAGTTTTATTTCCCCCGCCAAAGCAGGGACAGGCATACTATTACAGTATGTATAAAGCATCTAGCCCACTTTTTGGCACATAATATATGCTTAACAATTGTTAGCTCTCTGTCTGTCAAAGGTGTTTAGAAGGGACATTCCCAGACTAAAGTCACACCAGGATAGCAGTTCTTCCTCATGTTGAGGATAGCAAGAAAAGAAGAAAATAGTTAGCCTACAACAGAACATTTGACAACCCCCCCAAACTATGCTCTTTCCATACAGTTGAACAATGCAGTTAGAAAAAAATGAACACTGGTTGATAACACCCATCTCAACATTCTAGGCTCTGGGTGAGGGTCTGGGTCTCACCTACAACTCCATTCTCCATCCACCCCATATTCCCATATCCCCACCCCACCAAATGTTTCAGAATTTCTCCCAAATGCAGGCCTCTCTGTCCTTACTTCCAGGGCTTCAGCTCCTGAGCAATTCCTCACATGACTTACCTGGCAGACCTACAGGTCCACATACTGTAAGATTCCTAACTTAGTGTAATCTGACGAAATAGGAAGTAGATGAGGGTAAAGAGAGGAAACCTGACAAGAGTTTTCACTCTGAACAAGAAGTAATTTTTTTCAAAGTGAAGCCTCAATCTATCTCCTCAGCAACCATACATACACCTGATGTCAAATTTCTTCAACTCCGAGATGTTCCTCTTCCTCCACAGATCACCACCAGCTGCAAAATGCCTCCCCGAAGTGTTTTGCAAACTGTAAGGTGCTGGGCCATATTTGAGCAGCTTTTTAAAAAAGTCCTGAGCCCTGGTGGGGTAGCTCAGTTGGTTGGAGCGTTGTCCCTGATATGCCAAGGTTGTGTGTTCTATCCCCGGTTAGGGCACATACAAGAAGCAACAAGTGAATGCATAAATGAGTGGGACAACAAACTGATGTTTCTCTCTCTCTGTCTCTCTCTCTCAAAATCAATCAATATATTAAAAAATTAAAAAGAAAAAAGCCCTGGCTGGTGTAGCTCAGTGGATTGAGTGTGAGCTGCGAATCAAAGGGTCGTCAGTTTGATTCTGAGTCAGGGCACATGCTTGGGTTGTGGGCCAGGTCCCCAATAGGGGGTGTTTGAGAGGCAACCACAGATGTTTCTCTCCCTCTCTCCTTCTCTTCTCCTCTCTAAAAAAATAAATAAAATCTTTTTTAAAAGTTTTTTTTTAAAAGAAAAGCCCTAAATACCCTTCCTTCCTGTTTTAACTCAAAATACTTAGGGAGAATTCCAAACCTCCAGATTCTTGCACAACCTCCCTTCCCCCTTTGTCATTGCTGATGAGAACAGCATCCATTTTTAATTAATTGCATTTTTGCAGAATGAAAGCACCATTCACTTTTGCAACGGTGTCAATTTAAAACAGCTGCTGTTTTGTACTCTCCCTAGAATCTAGGGGCCTAGGTGATCTGTCTTTTTAAATGAGATTAGACCCCATAGCTCTTTTCTTCCTGGAAACTTTCATCAAATACCACCAAACCTTGAGTAACTCAGTGCCTCAGACAAGAAAAACATTGTGCTTCAAATTTATAAGTGAGTAAGAAATACCCTGGACCTGGGAAGTAGAGAAAGGGTCTTAATACAATGGTGTCTGTAAAAGGTTCTGTGAATAGCCCATCTTTCTTGCTAATAAAACTGTTAATTTGGGTGTTTGGGGAGGGGAGTGGGTGACAATATGCCCAGATCCAGGAAGCAGCTCATGATGAATCTGAGGCTCTCAGCTAATGTTAAAATCCTATGCACTCTATTCTCCCATCCAGTCCTGGCCAATGAAATATAAGAGAAACTGCTATGGAGCTTCTGGGATTGTTTTTGCCTTCCTGTAAAAAGGAATAGATGTATCTGGTTCTACCCTTCTTCTGACCTTGAATGTGTCTGTGACCCCTGAAGCTAGATCTTGTGTCCATGAAAAAATAGGCATAACAACAAAACAGAAGTAATGGCTGAGATAGAGTCAAGCTGCAGCTGACCCCATGCTAGCAGCTGCCTACTGCCAGACTTCGCAATAGGTGAGGAACGTGAGACCTTTTTTGTTTAAGCCATTGAATGCCAAGTTATTAGAAAATGTCTATGAACTCATTTCTGATTGCCCCATTTGGGCTTCCCTAATATGTTTACCATATCTTGGTCAAATTAGTGCAACCTGAAGGGCAGATTCACATCCTCTCTCTTGTTAAGGGCACAAAACAATGGTAATAACTGCTGTCTGTAGTCACTCACCTCTTTCCAAGGCTGAGAGCAGAATTTTTTTATCGTGTCAATCATCTTTTCCTGAGAGAGGGGTTCCTCTGATGTAAGATTTAAAAACTTCATCACATAGTAATAGGCTGAAAATGCCTGCAAGAGAGAAATGCAGTTTTGCAGTGTTCAACACAGAGGGACACTGACTCTTCAGAATGTCATACCCCTAGTGAAGGCACCTGGAAATCCCTGTTGAGTCAATTCACAGAATTTTTGATATTTCAGACCCTAGCAAGATGGGTCACTTTGCTTCTGACATGCATTTCTGAGCCAGCTGGTGGCTAATTTTCTCAGTAATTTTAATGGGAGGGTCAGGGAGAAAGATGGGTAAAAGAGAAGACAGAAAAAGAGGAAGAGGTCCTGTAAGTCCTCCCTGAAGGCATGGCAGGCAAGAGAAAGCTGGGTTACATGATTTATAAACTATTTACTATTTGAAAGAGGGCTGGAGAATGAGGATGTGGAAGGAGGGTTTGGACGCCTTCCTAGGATCTGGCTGAGCAAGGTGCCTCCTCTCACCTGGATAATGAAGTTGTCAGGGGCTGACTGAGGGATGAGCAGGGTCATGGTGGTTCTCTATTCCTCACTAATGTCCCCATCCGAGCATCCATTTCCTCATTTGGAAAGACAGCTTCCACATCCCTGGAACTTGGGAATTCCAACACTTTAAATATCATGCTGGTTGCAGAACAAGATCTTGGTATGGTCCTCTTTCTACCGTCTTAACTCAAGACACCATCATCTCTTGTGTGGACACTGTAATGTCCTCTTATTTGATCTCTATGTTAGCTTTCTAGTGCTATTCTAATTCATCCTGCACATGGCAGTTGCAGAAATCTTTTAAAAACAAATTTGAAAATCTCACTCCTCTGCCTAGAGCCTTTAGTGACTCCTGATTATACCTAGATTAAAGTCCAAACTCTCCCAGGTCTCTCAAGGACAGGTATGTTCTAACCCTTCCCACCTTGCCAATAGCATCTCATACTCTTTCCCACCTTGCCCACCACACCTTAGCCACCTTGGCCTTCAATCTCTGCCAAGTTTTTCTTCTCTGGGGTTGCATACTTGCTATTCCCTGTGTTGGAATTCCCTTGACTTCTACATCTCCTTCTCAGAAAGATTTTTTAGTCATCTATCTAGACTAGTACCCTCTTGTTATTCCGTTTCAAAGGACTCCATCTCTTTCTTTGCAGCAATTACTATGGTCTGATTTGCTTTTGTTCATTTGTGTTTCTAGTCTCTAATCTACTTGCATCTAGAATGGCAGGACCACATCTGTATAATTCTCAACTGCACTAACGTGGCACTTAGCACATGGAAGAGCTCTATAAATTATCAAGTGGCACAACACTGCTTTCCCTCTAGTTCCTAGAGCACTGCCTAGAATGTAAGAGATACTACCCAACACAGTCTATAGATTCAACACAATTTCTATCAAAACACCAATGGCATTTTTTTATAGAACTACAACAAATAACCTAAAAATGTATGTAGAACTACAAAAGACCCTGAACATCCATATTAATCTTGAAAAAGAACAAACTTAGAGGTATCATACTACCTGATATAACAAACTATATTACAGGGCTACAGTAATCAAAACAGCATGGTACTGGTATAAAAACAAACACATAGATCAATGGAACACAAGAGAGCCCAGAAATAAACTCATGCCTACATGGTCAATTAATATTTGACAAAGGAAGAAATAACATACAATGGGGTAAAGACAGCCTATTCAATAAATGGTGGTGGGAAAATTGGACAGATAAATGCAAAAAAAAATGAAACTAGACTACCTTCTTATACCACACATAGAATAAACTTCAAAATGGATTAAAGACATATATCAGACTCAGAACCATAAAAATCCTAGAATAAAACATAGGTGGTAAAATCTCAGACATTTCTTTCAACAATATTTTTTATATATCTTCTCAAGAAAGGGAAATGAAAGAAAAAAATTTAAAAATGGGACTATATCAAATTAAAATATTTTGTACAGAAAAGGAAACCATCAACAAAATGAAAAGATAACCCCAAAATGGAAGAAGGTATTTGCCAATGATTCAATAAGGGGTTAAATCCAAAATGTATAAAGGACTCATACAACTCAACACCAGAAAAACAAATAATCCAATTAAAAAATGGGCAAAGGATCTAAACAGACACTTCTCATAAGAGGACATACAAATAGCCAATAGACATGAAAAGAGGCTCAACATCACTAATCAGAGAAATGCACATTCAAACCACAATCAAATATCACCTCATGCCTATTAGAATGGCTATAATAAATAAATCAACAAACAAGTGTTGGTGGAGATGTGGAGAAAAAGGAACCCTCATGCATTGTTGGTGGGAATGCAGATTGGAAAACATTGTGGAGTTTCCTCAGAAAATTAGAAATGGAACTGCCTTATGACCCAGTGATTTCACTTCTGGCTACATATCCAAAGAAACCCAAAATACTGTTTCAAAAGAACAGATGCAGGATTATTTTTAATAGCCAAAATATGGAAGCAATCCAATACCCATCAGTAGACAAGTGGACAAAAAAGTGATGGTACATATATACAATGGAATATTGCTCCATCATAAAAAGAATGATATCTTATCATTTGTGATGGCATGAATGGGCCTACAGGGTATTATGCTAACTGAAATAAATCAGTCACTGAAAGACAAATACCATGTGATTTCACTTACACGTGGAATCTAAAGAACAAAATAAGTGAACAAACAAAATTGAAACAGACTCATTGATACAGAGAACAGACTGATGGTTCCCAGAGGGGAAGGGGATTGGGGGGTCTGAGTGAGAAAAAAGTGAAGGGATTAAAAAGTACAAGTGGGTTTGGGTAGCTCAGTTCATTGGAGCATTCTCCTGTACACCAAGAGGTTGCAGGTTCTATTCCCTGTCAGGGCACATACCTAGGTTGTGGGTTTGATCCCCAGTAGGGGCTCACACAGGAGGCAACCAATTGATGTTTCTCTCTCTCCCTCTCTGTCTCTCTTCCTTTCTCTCTAAAAGTCAATAAATATATCCTTGAGGATTTAAAAAAGAAGTACAAATTGGTAGTTACAAAATAGTCATGGGGATGTAAAGTACAGCATAGAGAATATAGTCAGTAATATGGTAATAACTATGTATAGTTCCAGATGGGTACTGGAAATATCGGGGGAAACACTTCATAAAGTATATGACTGCCTTACTATGTACTGTACACCAGAAACTGATACAAAATAATATTGAATGTAAATGGTAATTAAAATATTTTTTAAAAATGTAAGAGGCACTTACTGAATCCCTGTTGAGTGAGAGACTGGATTAATTCTGAGACCGGATAGCTATGATGCACACAGCTAATGCCTGGAGAAGTTCCCTCTTATTCATTAAAACTACATATGTTAAGAGTTAACGATTGTGGGGCAGGAGAGAGAGGAAGGTTTTTCTGTTTTACTTTAAAATTTTTTATAGTGCAAGAACCTTTAAAACTTTTTTAGGTGTCTGATACAGCATTGTGAACTATTAGGACAATGTTATACAGCTCATCTGTAGCACTTACTCATGTATAACGGAAACTTCATGCCTGTTAGTAGCAATTTCCCATGTCCTCCTCTCCCTAGGCCCTGGCAGCCACCATTCTACTCTCTGGTTCTGAGTTTGATTATTTGAAATAACCTAATATAAGTGGAGTCCTTTTATATTTGTTCTTTTGTGACTGGCTAATTTACCTGGCATAATGTCTTCAAGATTCATTTTCATCACATATCACAGGATTTTCTTCATTTTAAGGCTGAATAATATTCTGTAAGTATATACCACATTTTCTTTATCCATTCATCCATCAATCAACTTTTTAGGTTATTTCCACATCTTGTGCTGTAATGAGCATTAGAGTGCTAATATCTCTTCCAGGTCCTAATTTCAATTCTTTTGGATAAAAACCCCAAAGTGAGAGTGCTGTATCATATGGTAGTTCTTTTTTTTTAATTTTTGAGGAACCTCCATATTGTTTTCCATAGTGGCCACACCATTTTGCATTCCCACAAACACTGTACAAAGGCTCCTCCTCACTGAAGAATTAAGAAATTCTCTTACTTTTGCTATTTGCTCTTTAAATAAATAGAATTTATTTTAAAAATATGAGCAAACAGAAACTTTCTATAGGTGAATTTAGTAAAACATTGAGCCTTCAGTGCCAAACATAGCAATCAAGTCATCAGGGTCTCCTGGTCTGTGCCACCTCCTACCCCCAAAGCTCTGCATGCCACGGGCTCTTGAAAATTTTCTCCTGAAATTTTTCAGAAGCCTCCCTTCATCATCTCAGAATCCTGCTCTTATTCATTTCTCAAATGATAAAAGGCGCCTTCTTCATTGTTTTTCCATCAAAACAGGTAACACGGGGCCCTGTCTGGTGTGGCTCAGTGGATTGAGTGCCAGCCTGTAAACCAAAGGGTCGCCAGTTCGATTCCCAGTCAGGGCACATGCCTGTGTCGTGAGCCAGGTCCCCAGTAGGGGGTACATGAGAAGCAACCACACATTGATATTTTTCTTCCTCTCTTTCTCCCTCCCTACCCCTCTGTCTAAAAATAAATAAATAAAATCCTTGAAAAAAAAAACAAAAACAAAATAAGTAATATGTTAATTATGTAGAATGATTACAAATAAAAAATGAAAGTCTCTCCTTAATCTAACCATCCCCTAGAAAAAATACACTTTATAATTTCCTGTTTAATACTTGTTGCATATATATGTAAAATATCAAAATATATGTATATATTTTGCATAAATGTGATCATACTAGACATAATGTTTTATAATCCTACTTTGTTTCACTTGATAATAATACATCATGGGCAAGTTCCTATGCAGATTTACCTTACCCATATTAGTGACTACAAAAGGGTACTGTGTATGGATATATCATAACTAACTTAAACAATCTCATATTCATGCATATTTAGGTTTTTCTAATGTTTCACTATTATAAATGTTACAGTGTATTGCATCTTTGTACCCTTGCCTTGGGACAACTTCGTTGGGGTAAAATGTTTGCTCAGAAGGCAACTATATTGTATGAGTGGAGATATAC